AGTCAACTTATTTTCTTTCTTTTCAAAACGATTTAGGTGTTACGGGTTTCCCATGACTCTTTGACCACCGGTCAAACCAATTTAGACTTTCACCAAAGTCAAACCACTTAACATTTATTTCCTATGACGGAGATAGCCTCAATCCGTAATACCGAAGATGGCCTCAATTCGGTGGAGGTAGGATCCCTCGGGCGATGGCCTCAAACCCAAGATCGCAGACCCTCGTGCGCACGTCTTAACCTCACTGACCAGGCCCTGCAGCCGCCCGAGCGATGGTCAGTTTCTATGTTCAACACAATAAACCAATTGACCTTAATCACCAATTAGAATTAATTAATTAACTTAACTAATTCATTAAAGTTTGGATTTAACCATTCGGTCAAACTTACAACAACAGAATATCCAGTCAAAGTCCAAGTCAAACAGGACCTAACCCAAGTCAAAGACAAACCTGTTCAGTCAATTCACAATCCTCAACAATTCAATTCAAACAATCAATTTAATTCAATTAACCAATTTAGCCAAATTATAGCATAAACACATATAACGATCCAAACCATTAAATCGATTCTGAATGCTATTAACTTCATAGTACGGACCTGGATTACGTCGAAATCGAATCGATAGCTCGAACGGAAGACAAATCAACGAAATCAACCGAACGGGTCAAATCAAGTCAAAATACGAAATCGACCAATCAATCCGACGTGGGGGTTAATCTGCCGGCGATATCAACTCGGGGCAGCGGCCGGATGCGGCGACGGTGACGGTTGCCGGCAACAGTGGCGGAGCGGCAGTTCGACGGCGATGAGCAGCGACTGGCGGCGCTGCAATCGACGGCGGGGAAGGACGCCGGCAGTGGAGGCGATGTCCGGCGCTCGGCGTGGCGGCGCTGCAATCCGTCGGCGATGAGGCGGCGAGGCTGGGGAAGGCGAGCGACGGCGGCTCTGGAGTCTCGGCGACGGCGGCTAGACCTGGCGGTGAAGCTGGACGGGAAAGACGAAGAAGAAAGAAGAAGAAGGAGAAGAAAAAGAAGAAGAAGGAAGAAGGAGAACGGGAAGAGGAAGAAGAAAGAAGATAAAGGTTTTGTGGCTGAAAATAGTTTAGGTTTATTTAATAGTCCCATTCCAAAAAGGATTGGGCTTCGGACCCAAAATACCTGATTAAATTGTCATAACTTGAGCTCTGTAACTCCGATTCACGAGCCGTCTAAACCGACGCGATCACAAAAATATTTTCTACAAGATGACATAAAAGTTGGGCTTAAAATCCAAATTATAATTTTAACCCCTTTTTAGGCCCAATTCGTAATCAATTGCTTTGACAATTTAATTAATTCTTTTGGGCCAGGTTTCGGGGCGTTACAAGAATAGACATAATAATTCAATGACTAAGATCGCGCATATGTTTATCCTTTTAATAAAAATCAATTCAACTTTAAATTCGGTTCTTTAGACGGTTGACCAACAGTCAACTTATTTTCTTTCTTTTCAAAACGATTTAGGTGTTAAGGGTTTCTCATTAACTCTTTGACCACCGGTCAAACCAATTTAGACTTTCACGAAAGTCAAACCACTTAGCATTTATTGCCTATGACGGAGATAGCCTCAATCCGTAATACCGAAGATAGCCTCAATTCGGTGGAGGTAGGATCCCTCGGGCGATAGCCTCAAACCCAAGATCACAGACCCTCGTGCGCACGTCTTAACCTCACTGACCAGACCCTGCAGCCGGCCGAGCAATGGCCAGTTTCTATGTTCAACATAATAAACCAATTGATCCTAATTACTGATTAGATTTAATTAATTAACTTAATTAATTCAATAAAGTCTTGGATTTAACCATTAGGTCAAACCTACGTCAACAGAATATCCAGTCAAAGTCCAAGTCAAACAGGAGCTAACCCAAGTCAAAGTCAAACCTGTTCAGTCAATCCATAATCCTCAACAATTCAATTCAAGTAATCAATTTAATTCAATTAACCAATTTAGCCAAATTATAGCATAAACATATATAAACCATTAAATCTATTCTAAACGCTATTAACTTCATAGTACGGACCTGGATTACGCCGAAATCGAATCGATAGCTCGAACGGAATACAAATCAACGAAATCCAACGAACAACGGGTCAAATTGAGTCAAAACACGAAATCGACCAATCGATCTAGCGTGGAGATAAATTTGCCGGCGATATCAACCCAGGGCAGCGGCTGGGTGCGGCGATGGTGGCGGACGCCGGCGTACAGTGGCAGAGCGCCAGCTGTTGGCGGTCTACCTTGTTCAAAATCGAGGGGATAGAGACAAACCGAAATAGGAAACTGAAGAAGAAGAAGAAGAAGAAGAAGAAAAAGAAACTGACCTGAGCTAAGGGCGACGACGGGTGGAGGCGACTGGCGGCGCTCGATGGTGATGAGCGGCGGACTTCCGGCGAAGGCGAAACAGCGGCGATTGACGGCGCTGCAGCTCGATGACAAGGACGACCGACGCTGGCAGTGGAGGCGACGAACGGCAGCACGACGAGGTGAACCGTCGTCGGCGGCGCTGATGCTGACGGAGGACCTCTGGCGAAGGAAGCAGCGGCGATTGGCTGCGGCGAGGAGGCTCTGGCTTGCGCGACGCCGGCGTGGTCGAACGGCAGGGGAGGATGACCGGCGAAGAACGGCGTCTGGCGGCTGCAACTCGACGGCGATCGAAGATGAAGAAGAAGAAGGTGACGATGAAGTGCGCGGCTCTCAGATCCGAACGGGAGACGAGTAGGTTTAGGTTTTATTTAATGATCCCATTCCTAAAAGGATTGGGCTTCGGACCCAAAATACCTGATTAAATGGTCATAACATGAGCTCCAAAACTCTGATTCGCGAGCCGTCTGAACCGACGCGATCACAAAAATATTTCCTACGAGATGACATAAAAGTTGGGCTTAGAATCCAAATTATAATTTTAACCCCTTTTTGGGCCCAATTCGTAATCAATTGCTCTAACAATTTAATTAATTCTTTTGGGCCAGATTTCGGGGCGTTACAAATGTCCAGTAATGATGGACATTTACTTGAATAATGACTACTTGTTAATGACCAAAAGTCCTATATTGGGAAATAAAAACATATGGTCCTATATTAGAAAAGTCATTATGTTTTAATCCTATTTAGGTAAATTTCTCTTCTTATTTTTCTTCTTCCTCACCCGACCTACCCCAGTCCCTCTTCCTGAACGCCAAAAACAGGAAACCAACCCCGAATCTTCCTTGTAGAAGCATAATGGTAGTCTCTGACTCTCTAAAGTCTAGTTTGTTGAGGCATAATTGCAATCAATCAATTTTTTTAAAAATGTGAATCAACATTACACAATGAATTTGTTTACCTTTTGCCTCATTGCGTCTTACCAAACTGCGCCTAAATGTGAACATGGTGCTTTTGCATCTGTATTTCGATTTTCTAACATTTTCCCTTTTCCCCATTCAAAAACAATTCATTTCACATGCCCGTATTTTCCTGATGGGGCGTTCCATATTTTTTTTAATGCTATTGACTCTATTACAAGGTAGTATCTGTTCATACTATTCTCAAGCTAATGACGCACAAAGAGCCACCTTCTAGGGCTCGAACCTGGGTGAACTCCCCATAAATCTTGGGGAGTGGGCTTGCTACCACTCAAGCCAGGGGAGAAGTTCGGGCTTTCCATATTTGATAAGGCAGACAAGTAAAATGGGTGACACCCTAGTTCAATTACTAACAATTACCTCTCACTATTCAAACATAATAGAGAGTGGGGGCTGGCGGGGTGGGACCGGGAGTGGGGAAGAAAAAGAAGAAGAAGAAAGGGGTGAAAAACAAAAAAAAGGGAACGAGAGGGGGAAGAAGAAGAAAAGAAGGAATTGGAGTCAAATTGAAAATTTTAAAATATACTCCCTCCGTCCCATTGCGTATCCTAAAACTTACCACATTTCTCATTTATTGTGGGTAGAAGTTGTTTTGAAAGTTTTTTTTGCATTTGAGGCGGGATAGAAGTGTTTTATGATATGCGCAAAAAATGAAACAGGAAGATCTTTTTGGGACGGAGGGAGTATAAAATTTTATTTTAGCCCAAAATACTAGAAGTTAACTTGGAAACGTGTAAATGGAATTTTAGTGAAAGGAATATGCAAATTCAAGTACTACTTTGAAATGTTAGTGAAAATTCAAGTATCATTACTGAAATTTATTCCAATTGTGGGGGTGACAATGAGTTGACATGGGGTGAGGTAATTTTGAACACATGATGTGCTACAAATTGTAAAAAATTGCTGCCAGGTACTCTCAATTTTGTGATAATAACTACTAACTCCCATCATTTTTGAAAATATACTCCGAGATACCTTAAAATTTTCAAAAACTTACTCCGGAGTGACATTCCGTTAATCTACTGTTACTCCGTCATCTTCTTCATATTCCTCTTCCTTTTTTTCATCTTCTTCGACCTCCTCCTCCTTATTCTTCTTCTTTCTCTTCTTCTTTTTCATCTTTTTCTTTTCTTGTTTTTCTTCTTGTTTTTCTTCTTTTCTTTTTGTCTTTTTCTTCTTCTGATCCCCTTATTTTGATTTGATGCGGCCTCCTACCCCTCTCTTTTTTTACTTATTTTATACCCCATATCATCATCATCATCATCATCATTTTCATCATCTTTTTGTTGTTGTTGTTGTTGTTGTTATTGTCTTTATAAATATCATAACGTAGTGATTTTTTCGTAAATAAATGTCAAAGTTTACGAACTTTGACCAAGAAAGTCAATTGAGAAGAAGATTTTGTTGTAGCACTGGCTTTATGATTCACAAAAAAGATAATAATAATAATAATAATAATAGTAATAATAAATAAAAATAAAAATTATAACAATAATAATTACTCTATAGCACCGACTTATGGTTCACAAAAAAAGTTGATAATAATAAATAATAATAATAATAATAATAAAATTAATAATAATAATAATAATATAAAAGAAGGAAAAAAAAGGAGATGATGAGGGGCTGCAACAAATGGAAAGAAGAGATAGGAAGAAGAGGAAGAAAAAAAGAAAAGAGAAAAAGAATAAGAAGTAAAGGGAGAAGAAGGTCAAAGTCTGGAAGAAGATGGGAAAAAGAAAGAGGAAGATAAAAGATGAAGGAGGAATTGGCGTGGACGGTAGATTGACGGAATGTCAACTCGGAGTAAAGTTTTGAAAATTTTAAAGTAACTCAAAGTATATTTTAAAAAATAATGGAATCTCGAAGTTATTATAACAAAAATGAAGACAATAATCTTTTGTACAAACTAGTTCCGTACCCGTGCGTTGCACGACTAGTAATTTGATAAAGTGTAATAATGTGGTAATTTGACCTAAATTAGAAAATGAGAAGTAATAATTAAAGTATTTGATGTTATTGTAAATATTTCAAACATAACAAAACGAAATTGCGGAATGTTGTTAGAAAAGTACATATTAGAAAAAATCAAAGGTTCTGAAAAAACTTTTTTGTAAACCACATTTGATGTGGTATTCACATCGGCTATATCGTCCTTGCAAATTAACACTTTTAAACCATGACGATTTGTTACTCGAGAGACTGCAATATAAAGTTGTCCATGACTAAACACTGGAATTGAAGTAACATACTTGATCGTCATGAAAAATCACCTCCATTGATTCGTCAATTCTACCAAATGAACTTATTTCGTACACACGAATTGCTCTCACATGAATGGCCATCTTGCTTCGATCTCTATCAATATTGGCAAGCTTGGTCCACATCTCGGATGAAACTGCGATGGAAGACATTTTTTTTAAATTTAGAATTGGCAAGCTTGGTTTGGTTATTAAAAGGGGAGATGGTCTTGCTTTTATATTCAAGAATGTTCACTTAAAATAGAAAAATAGATTACACACTCTCCAATGTTTCACAATTAATTTCACGTGGCTCAATGCATGTTTTTTCTCTTTCACATTTCACATGGCTCAATGTATGCTTTTTCTCTTTCCCATTTCACATAGCTCAATGTATGCCTTTTCCCTTTCACATTTTACGTGGCTCAATGTACACACTAATCACATTACCCCATAAAATTCTACCTCCACTTGCAAGCCCCTTGACAGCATGTAGGCCCAACTCGAAATTACTGTTCATTTAGGTGGAAAATGGCCCTGTTCATTGAGTTATTGGCATTTCTACCCTGCTTAGACCTCATTTCCACTTTCAGTCTTCTGCTGGTACGGCGTACCTCATCAGTTAGATTCCCACCGGATTGTTCTCGCCGTCCGTTTTTGGGGAGGAGCGAAGGGTCAGCGACGAACACAGATACCGGCGGCGACAACCCACGAAGCTGCCCGTGACTTGGTAATTTCCCAATTCACCCACTGCATATGTTGATTTCCGATGCTTTGATTGGCTGTGCAATAAGATTTAAGAATCCAATTGGTTGGTATGCTTTGTTGGGTTTGCAATAAGGATTTGAGAATTCGAATAAGATTGATATTCTTATACTTCTTTTTTTACTTATTTTGATCTATTTACATCATTTTTTTTTAAATTTCGCGTGAGTTTGTTTGAAGCTGTTTGATGGTTGAATGTGATGTGGAAGGAATAATTTTTTCTTCTCTAAAAACAGATTCAGCTTTGGCCAATCCTCTTGCCCTTTTTGATGTCGACGTGTATTCCTCACTTTGTATCTCTCAGATTTTTGGAGCTCAACACCTCAAAGGTTTCTTCTTCCTCCCAAATCCCGGTGGATTTAGTGTTTTATTTTGTTTAGGTTCTTCCTTCTTCATGCGTTTTTGAAGAAAAATGGATTGATGTGTGTTAGAGAAGTGATGGATTGCAGAGATATCGGTTCTCCGGTCGGTGCAGAAGGACCATGTCAGTTGCTGCTTCAGTTTCAAAAGAGGCCTCCAATTACATTCCGGAAGCTCCGATTTTCTTGCCTGAAGGGCCATGGCAGCAGGTGAGAAGCTCTTTCCCAATGTCTCATCTTGATTCATGTCATGATTGTTGATTGCTTGTACACTTCTTACTTCTTAGGAATCCAGATAGCTGAATCTGGTAGTTTGGTGATCATTAGGTGAAATTGAATGAATCCAAAACACATGTTATTTGCTTTTGATTTCTTAACTTTGTTCTCATAATATGTTAAACTGAACTTAAACCATCTAAATCTGGACCGAACCTATGGAACACCATAAAAGCAACTTAAAAAAACCTAATTAACCCAAACCGAAACTGAACTGTATCAAATAAAGTTGGTTTCTCTTTTGTAATAAGATCCTCGATAATCAAACAAAACCGCAATAAGAAGCCGAACCAAACCTGAAATACCAGCCCCTAAGTAGACACGACGACCATGCTGATTGTGTGTTTCTATTTTATTTTCTTCCATCATATTTATCACTCCACATGATCTAAATCACACATATTAAAAAAGTTACATAAAAGTTATTCCCTCCGTCCCAAAAAGATGTTCACACTTCACTATTAAAAAATCACAGGAATTGTTGCTTATTTGTGTGCTATTATTGATTACGGAGTATTCGATAAAAATAAAATATCTCATTTTTATACTCCATCCCGTGCTTTGTACTCCTTCCGTTTTTTAAATGGAAGAGTTGAAAATGTTGGAACTCTCCATACCCTTCGTTCTTGCAGGATTGCAGCCAGTAATTATATGAGGAAGGCCGAGGAAACTCATGGCACCGTGGAAATTCACATATCTATTGGTGTGACTCTCAGTCTTTGAAAAAAATAACTTGTTTCGGTCATTTTTTATACTCCCTCCATTCCAAAATAACTGTCTATTAAGGTACATTAGATTTTGAATGGAGGTAGACATACCTAAGTCTACGTTCATTCAAAATCTAATGTATCCAATAATCCTTAATAGACCGTTATTGTGGAATCGGAGTAGAAAAAAGCGAATTCGTTTTACTCATCATTCTTCTTCACATGCATATATATATGCAGGTGATGGCCCGGGACGCGGAGTTGCATGGGGCTGTGATTTGAGTTATGATTACGTGAAGATAAATGCCGAGTACTCTACGTGAGTTAAGTGCAATTTATTCAGTATTTGTTGCATTTTTCAAAACTTCAAATGTTCCACTCTTGTTGTTCAAGTTGACTGAGGTTTTCCTTGTTTATTCTTTGCCACATTTTCTCCATCTATACAAACCAAGAGAAATGCAAGGCATTGGCTTTGCCCTTTTTTTCTTTCCTTTTTTTGGAATGTGTAAAATTTTGTGATCCAAAACGCAAGTTTTTGATTTCACTGTTGGTCACACTTTGTGGTTCCTAGGCTGGGAGATGTGTTGGTTAAATGTGAGAAACATACACTAAGGTTCTTTTGATACTGAGATCAAACCTACCGTCATAATACTCTCCGTTCTAATTTAAGTTGTCAATTTATTATTTAAATGGTCAAATTTTAGCCACGTTCTTTACTCATTTTCACTACCCATTTGATAAAATAATTTAGTCTTGTCACGTTTTATTTTTGTAGATTTTTTGATGTATTTTTTAAAGTATGTAAGTTTTATTTTTTTAATTCGATATCAATTTTTAACTAAATTGAGTTAAAAATAATTTCAGTAAAATCTCGTAAACAAGGTTTATTTGAGGTTTTATGATGTTCTATTGCTCTCAAATTCATTTACTTTGTCTGAATAACACGTAAACTTCTAATTTTTTTTAAAAATAATTTTATCTATAAATTTGTATGGAAATAAAATTGACATATTTTAAAATTACACCAAAAGTTTTACAAAACAAAATGTGATAAGATTATTTTATTTTATCGAACAAATAATGAAACGAGTAAATGAAAATTATCGGGAGACTAAAATGTTAAAAGTATAAATCATATTGGGAAATAGATAGTAAAAAAGTTATTGTAGGATTAACGATACTCATAAATAATTATAAAAACTATAGAATTTCTAACATTTAAAATGTTAAATTTAAATAGTAAAACAACAGAGATGTCTTCAATTCAATTCCTAGTACAAAACCCATTCACTATCTCACTCTATCAATTCGTCAAATCTTCAAACAGAAAGTTTTCAATTCACAGATTCTTTTCGGCCCCGCCGGCCGGCCTGAGATGGATCCACTCATCGATCATCTCACCAGAAAAGCCTTGCGCCGGCGACCGGAATGCTTGCAGGCGGCGGAGTGGGAGGACTGGAGTGCCCAATGGCCGCCATCTTCAGTCATCTTCTCCAGATTCCCATACACAATGTCCACCTCCGGGAACTCCGTCTTCAGCTCCACCAGCGCTTGCTGGAGATGGTCGTCGTGCAGCCGCCCGAACATCTCCATCCCTTCAGCCCCGCGGCGGTCCTCCGGCCCCGGAACGCCGGAAACCACCAGGTTCACCGCCCCGGCACCTATGAGCCTCTTGAGTTGTTCCTTGATCGCCGAAACAACTTCCGGCACCATCCGGCCAACTTCTCCAACTGATTTCCCATTCTTGAAAGCCAATTTGTAGTCGTTCTCCC